TGAGTTCTAGACTGACGAAAAAAATGATAACAACAAAGGAAAGAAGGTTTCTTGTTTTACATGCGTAAAAATACAGACGCAGAATGAGAGAAGCGGCAAGGACACTGAAGGCCCTTCAGCACCTCTCCTCAAATCTGGAGAGACAGGTGGTGGAAAAACAAGACAAGGACAAATGTCTGTCAGTCGTTGGTTTGGGCTCTGCTGACATTTTCCTTGGCATTTAAGAAGCTTCCAAAGGTAGAGGAAACCTATGCACGATCCAGTTGATCCAGACACTTCAAATCGCCTCTTGTTTTAGGATTTTTAGAGCTTTTCCACAGCTTCCTGATTTCTTTATGGCAGATTTCAGTAACAGGTAAGATAAGTTGGAGTAAGATGAAATCAGGGGATTTCTTCCAAAACTTCTCAACAGCCTGTTCTCCATACATGAATCTATCCTTCCATTTTCTGCCACTCATCCAAATTAGGGTTGCTGTGTAGTCAATATACCTAACATACAAGTTAGCAAATAAATAAAATTGAAATCACTGTTATTGAGCAAAAAGAAAATCATGACTTACAAAACATTTTTAATTAAAAAAATACTTTTTCTTCTACTTGCAACAGCTATGTGTATGTATATGTATGCCGAAAGAAGTATCATAAATCAAGACAAGTATTTAACCATCATTCCCACTTTCTAAAAAATAGGGTTGAACAGCGCTCAACAGAAACAAACAGATAGTGGCCAAACACAACGCTCCACTATGACTTTATTTACAATTGTGGTATTTTATCATTATTTTTATTCTCAACTACCGCCTCTATAAGTGCAGGCTTGCCTCCTTTTGTTAATAAGTAACTTAAGCTGAATGTAAACATTATAGAGCACTGATCACAGACTGTATTTAAAACACGGAGATCACCATCAACACCATCACATTTCCCACTGATTTCTGAACGCGTATTTTTATTATTATTATTATTATTATTATTATTATCATTGATAATATCAAAATCAAATCAAGAATAGATAAATACATCCTTTTTTACAATCCTTTTATGTACCAGACTGAAGAAATATTGGTTTTCGGGCTGATGTCGAGCATTTTAACATATTTTAACGCATCTTTAGGGATTTGGAAGCCATACTTTTGGAGTAAGCCTCAAGCAGCCACTGGAGAATTTCGCACTTCCATGCAGGCTTCATTGTCCAGCCTACTAGGTTAAATCCCCGTTCTTGTTATATGCTACATCTTCAGGTAGATGTTTTTTCCATGTATTCCCACACTGGCCTTTTACAGCATCCTTAAATGAAACTTGGAGAACTTCAACTAGCACAGGCCCTCATTTCCTTCACTGTGACCAAGCAAAGCAGAGCAGCCAATTTCCATTTAACACATCATTGATCACACTGATGTATCATGTCATCATCTGGATTGAGGAGGGTTTAACTCATTTGTGATCACTGCCAGGTGGCTGCGACGAAGGCTATTTGAAATGGGGCTTCAGTGCAAACACCCCCAAACCCTAAAAAGTTTTAAAAGAGGCGTGTTTCTGGGAGAATGGGTCTCCAATTACTTCCTGCTTTACAGGCTCCTGAAAGTCAGAGAGGGCCCCCAGTCGTCTCTTATCTAGTTTGATTTCTGCGAAAGAGGGTAAAAAATAATGTAGAACAGCCAATTTGGGCCGTGATTTGTGATGCTCAGAAGTGACGGAGATATGCTGAGAATGTTGGCCTCGAGTAACAAAGCGAAGAAGGAATGGATGAATATTGATTCCCCTGTTTAAATGAAGCTGGCAGAAAGACTGAGATGAATAAAGGGAAAGAAACGGAGGGAAAGAACGCCCAGGCTTTTGGGAAATGCCCAACTTCCAACAATACAGATCTCATAAAATAAATGACTCACTTACTCCACGCATCTGCTTTCAGCAAAGACTACAGGCCAGCTGACCAGAGCTTGCTCACATGCACACACAAAAGCAGACGGACACAGCCGGGGTTGCACATAAATCTGAATGTCAACACAGGCCTTGTGTCCAGTTAATGTTAGCTGAACACTGGATGACTCTACTTTTTTTTGTTACCAGAACCACTGAAAACTCTGTACCACAAACGTCACTACAACACACTGCCACTCGCACACACACAGAAAGTCCTAAAGCGTGACATCATGTAGATCTTTTTTAATCTCATCTTTCATGTCATCATGCCTTAGCAGAAAAACTGCAGTATGATAAAAGCCATATTTACAAACACAAAAACACTATACTATAAAAATCACGACAGCAGGAAAGAAAGACTTCAGATAAAAAAGAATCTCCGCACACAGACACAAACAACAACACACAGTGGTAACAAAAAAAAAAAAAAAAAATCACAAATTCACCACGCACCAAGCACCAGAGAATAAAGAAAAACCGTTTAACTTTGACACTGTTCTCAACTTGGATCTAAAAAGTGAGCGCTGCCATTTGCTCTGCCATTCGGCTTTGATCATGACTCGCTCCCCATTTTCAAACGCTGTGACATTTGAAAAACACAATCCCACTTTGTTCTCCTATCATCGCTGGAAGAGGATACAGAGAAATAATAGGGCCAACACTGCCCACCTGCAGAACATCACATCCTCTCTCCCCAAGAAATGACAGTGACCAAAAAATAGGCGTCCCACTGTCGCAATCTGCCCATCGGACTGTGACGATGGGAAGTCTATATTTGGTCATCATATCTCGCCTTCGTACACGGGGAGGCAGTTTTCCGCTATTATTGAGGACAATGGTGGAAGCAAGATGACACGGGGGTTTTTTCATATTTTTTTTATATTTCTTAAGACGAAAAACAAGAAAAAGAGGAAACGAGGAGAAGAAAAGGGGGGGAAAAAGACTGGAGTGTTTTACCTCCTACTGAGCTCCATCTCCCCAATGGCCTCTTGTTGGGGGCAAATTGAGCCTGGAAATAAGGGGTCATTTCCTCTGCCTGTTTACCTGTGCACAGCACACTGTCATCAGTTTGAACCACACACACAGGCACAAGCTGACCTAGCTGTACCCTCGGAGCACTTACGTCAGAGAGGGTTAAGACAGTTTGGTCTTCAGTGTGACAACAAGTCAGAAACCTGTGTGTGGAAGTATGTATTGGCTTCTCCAACAGCAGTAACCCAGATGGCCTGATGACCTTGGGACTGGCAGTCTGTCTGCAGCTGTAAGATATCATAAAGCCACAGTCTAGTCTCTGATTTCCTGCCAGGCTTGTTTGCTGAGAGTGTGTGTCCATCTTGCCCATCTACCTGCTAGCTAATTCATACTCTAGTTACTGATTAAAGTTCTTATTGAGTCACAGCGCTAATTTTAGTCACAACACAGGAAATAAAATTTCTGTCACATTTGAATATTAAGGCTTTGGTAATATATAAAAAAGGAAAATCTGTTGCTGAGCAGAAATTTAGGCATTTAAAAAAAAAAAAAACTTAATCAAAGCAAAGCAGCAAGATTCTTAATTCTGCCTGAAAATGGCTCACAACATTTTACTCACTTACTTACTTCTCTTCTAACACTCAGCTACATCACGAGATTCGTAAAGACTCATGCATAAAACAGCAAAGGGAATAAGAGGTGAGGAAGCAGAGCAGCGTCAAGGCAGCAAGCATGTAGGATTCCTACGCCACTAATGGCCCACCTCAGCCTGTCACTCCCCACCATCTCTGCTTCATTCATAAGTCAACAGCACACCTACTGTATGCTGCCACACACACATACAGAACAACCTAGTTTTATCTCCCACACAGACTGCCAAACACACGCACACACACACACCATTTTAAATTCCAATATTCCCACAGGTGATTCAGACAAATCCAGTCAAGCACGCACACACACACACACACACACACACACACACACACACACACACACCTTCAGTCCTTCAGCCTCTGGACCAATGCAGTAAATATCAATATGCAATCATTGCAGTTTTGAATCGCTTGAGGCTGAACCTCTGTGTGCACAAATGTGCGTTTGAAAAGGAAAAAAAGTTGGTAGCACAATGCGCTCCTATAAGGATCCCACCAAATTCCACGATTTTCAATCGATGAAGGTAGCTAAGTATTACCATAACTTTCCTACCACACGTCTGCTGTAAACTCAATAATTCAAGAGCGATTTCACACGTGCACATACACACACATGCGCACACATGCTCGCCAGCCTCCATTGTTGCTACGCATCGTGGTGCATTCAATATTGTGCTCACACTCCTAAGACAGAGTGGGAGTACAGTCTGCAGAGAACCCTTGTAGATCAATAGATTAAAATAGAAACGTATGAATAAAACACAAGCTAATAAATAAAAAAGGAGATGGTTTACTCTTGTTGTCACATACAGTACAAGCCCTGTCTCACATTTGAGTGAAAAAAAAAAAAAAGAAATGGGGAAAGAAAAGGATGAGAGCAAGAAATAGCAAGAAATAAAAAAGGAAAAGTTTTTGTTGCTCTTTTAACTTGTTTTTAATTTGCAAGTCATTCATTTCCTATGTGTGCATAGTTGTACAAGTATGCACACATAACTGAATGAATGCACAAGAAAAAGGAAAAAGTGATCTCATAAAACTAATAAGTCAATAAAACCCTCCAAATTTACTGCTTATCAAATGCGTAATCGCAATTTTTCTTATGATTCCAGACATGACATTTACTTTCCTTTTATGACAAAAAGCCAAATCCCCATAAAAAGACCGCATTTTTTAAATCATTTTTTTAAGGCCCTAATAAGCCATTAGTCAAATAATTTAGTGGGAGGGGGCAGAGCAACTGAACCTTTTTTGTTGGACTTTTTATGTGAGTATTGGCACAAATTGGACGTTTGACACCACTTTTGGATAATAAATCCATTTTTGAACTCATTAACTGCAACAAAATTTCTGCTCCTATTTTTCCCCCACCCAAAGTTTGTGTTGCAAACTTGGCCGTCAGCATGCACCGAGATGGTCCATGCTGACTCAGAAAGCACATTAAAGACATACCTGTCGTTGATGCTCCAGTTCAGGCAAAGGTTGAGAGAGCTGAGGTTGCGACATTTCCTCACCACTTCCATCACCGTCTCGTTGTTGAGCTCCGAGATGTGTCGCAGATCCAGGACGCTCAAGTTCCGCAGCTGCAAGAGACAACACACAAAACCGTTTTCAGGATTTGGAAAAATGATGCTGAACAAAGCAGACAGGGAGCTGTTCAGAGCAGACAAAGAGCAAAATATTTCAATCCAACTTCCAAAAAGTCAGAAAGAAATTCCTAAAGAAAAGCATGTGCGATATGCAAGCTGTGCTAAATTACATACACGGTTTTGTTATATTCCAAAGAAATGAAGAAGTTGTATCTCTATATACTGAGTAAACTTGTATTTTGCCACGTAATCCAAAAAAAAAAAAAGAAAAGGAAAAACTGGGAAAAAACACCCAGCAGGAACACAAAACAAAATCTAACCAGGCAGATAAATGCTATGAAATTGCTTGTGGTTACTGTTTACAATTCTGTGCCGTATGCCTGGTGTGAGGGGGTTTTGAGCCAATATGAGCATTCACTTTCCTTCTTCCTTTTATCTCTCCGACTTTCAATAATCCCACTTTCCGATCTGAATACCTTATAAGAGGGGGTTTAGATTAATCCTCCAAGCAAAATCTTTACTTCCTCACACCCTCTTACAAACCCAAATTGAAACACTATTCAACAAGCGTGCCTGCACGTTGAAATTACCAAAGGCTTTTCCAGGTGTACTTTCTCTCATACATACCCAAATGTGTTTAAGGCACAGGTGCACATGTACACACTCAAACTCATGCACACATCGGGGATGCAAGATAATAGAGGTATGATGTTCCAACCAGCCGCCAGGGAGGCGTAGAGGTAAATGTCACGGCCGAGGCTAAAGAGAAAACAAGCTTACACTTGCCGTTAAGATCAGTGAGCCCTATTGTCGGCTCCATAGGCATGACATATACCTACCAGCATGAAGTCACATGGGGGGAATGGATAACCACGGCTCGCTGCGTGAAGTAAGCACACATGTAAACGCTCTCCCCTTTCCCCACATACCGAGAATCAGACGTGCACACTGAGTGCAAACAAACACGCTAAGGATGCTGCGCAGCGCTGAAAGTAATAAAGGAGGCTTTCAAAACCTTTACTTCTGTCGAACCGCTCCGTTTCTCTGTTCTTCTGTAGCCTCTGGCTTTTCTGTCACTTCTCAGAGAAAATTGGATCCACACCTCTTGTGATAAAAAGATCTGCTTAGGCATGAAATAAACATGAAACGTTTTTTTTTTTCCCCCCATCATATCCTCACCTATGAAAATATGCTTAGATATACAAATGAAATAAACATTAGACGGCTTGTGTGTGCAAAGGTAGGTCAAGAATGTGGCAGTAACCATCAGGGACAGCTGAACTGACATGATAAACAACAGTAAGTAATGAAAGGGGGAAAACCCCAAACTATGTGGTTTATCATAGATGTTCACAAAGACAGCACACAGAAACACACAAACTGTCATGTGCCCCTGTGGCCGGCGTTGGATCGAAGTGCTAAATTATTCATTCAGGATGGCGCTGATCGGGGCGTGCGTGCCAGTGTGTGTTCGCGTGCGTATGTCCATCTGTCTTGTCTGTGTGTCTCTACTTGGTTTACTCATGTGGGAACACAAATCTGCTCAGCATACTTCGAACCTTGATGTAGGGCTAAGTGACCAACACCCCAAATATTCACCACAACAGACACGCACTCACACCACGAAAATCATTACCATCCACAGCAGACGCTTTTACTCACACACAGACAGCTATTTGCATTCAGTATGTATGACTAATAAGCTTGAAGTAAATTTTAAAAGCCCCAGCATCAAAAGCAGTATTTGTTCTCCAAATCTTCAAAACTGCTTATGTCTGCTAAATGTAATTTTTTTTACTACGACCAATAGAAACAGTTTCATTGATGTGGACAACCAATGAGAAATCAGGCCAACCAGTGTGAGTTTTGATTGGCTGAGTGTGTAGCTAGGTTGCAGAAATACTAAAAACTTAGCAGAAATCTTCCTGAGAAGGAAGAGACAGAGTCACGGTTGAGACTTTGTTTATCTAAGCGTGAGAATAAATTCCACACTTTAGCAGACATCTGCCAAAAGAAAAACATCCATTAAATAAAAAGTCTCACAAAAAAAAAAAAAACAAGGCTACAGTGCGAGTGTTTGCTTCTGCACTGCTGATAGATATAATCTGATTTAGACGTGAAAGGCTTTAATACTCCCAGCGTATTTAATAACTTCCTCTCATATTATAGCTTGTTTTACACCCAAGTATTTGTGTGAATCAAAAAAAAAAAGGGAGAACAAATAAATAAATGGAGAAAAAGGGCAAGGAGAAAGCATGCGAGTTATAGAGCGAGATGAGAAAGAAAACAAGTTTCAAACTCACACCGGGGCAAAAGAGACCGAAACAGAGAAAAACACACAGAGAGAAAACTAGTGAGAGACAGAGAGAGAGGCGCAGAGCAAGAGAATACAGAGCAGGGATTTGGTGAGTGTTTCGGCAGGTTTTTCTCCTCGTTGGCTGAGGTCTGTAACTAGGCAGAGTCTGACTCGTCTCCTCTGAGTTGGCAGCAACACCTGGATAATTATTCATGCCGTTCATAAAAAAACAGGGAAAACCTACAAAATCCAGCTGCTCTGAGGCCAGCGTGTCGCTCCCGCCCCGCAAACACATGCATGGTGCAGCAATTTATGTGCACAGCAATTATAGGAATAATATATGAACCCATGTTTACATGGACAGAATTCAGTGGTGCAAAGCATCTAAGGAGAGTCATATGAAACACTGTAATAAACTACAATTTCGAAGAACTTATAGCTCACATTGAATACATTTTACTTCCATCTAATTTACTTTAGACTCAACTGTTTTCATTTAAAGGTTCAGAGTGAGTTTTTACAAATGTATCAAAAACATTGTATTGGCATAGATTAGGGAGCCCAATTAAAAAATATATGAAACCATTAGAGCACTACAGTGTATTGTTGGCATGATACTTAAATAATACTGCTCCCATAACTGAATGCTATAACACGCTCCAATCATGTATAATGAACAGTTTTATTTTTGCCTATTTAAGAATTATTTTCGCAAACCTTTATGGACTTTTGCTTAAACAAATACAATATATTATATTACAATACAATATTGTAATATCACTGTATTGTATCGCCCTTCTGCTATGAATCTCAGTTATTTCACTTACTGAGATTTCTTTTTCGATTTTATTGAGCCAGTTTAGATGCTTTATTTTACTTTATTTTCTATAGACTGTTTTCTTTTGTCATTTCTGCCCTTATAATACAAGAATTTCCCATTTTTCTGTCTGTTAATCACTGTCTGAATACTTATTTCACCGATTAATAACTGCACGACAAACGTTACAATATAATTATTTATATCTACAGCAATATTAAAGATATAGTTATGAAAGAATTACTGTAATCATAAGTAGTTAAATACATATTGGAAACGACGAGATATTTTAAACTTCAATACCAATGAATAGATTTTTCTAAAGTCGTAAAAATCAAACTTCAATTTCATTATTTCCTACAAAGCAGAAACAACACTGAAAACGTAAAATGTGACAAATCTGAAAATCACAACAAAGGATGTGAATCTCAATCTAATGAGATTCCGGCGCCAAATCAATTCATGTATTGCCCAAACTCATCCATCCAAAAAGAAAAAGAAAAGCAAAGACAAATGGCAAAAGCTGAAAGCTGTTCTGGTCTGAGACGAAGGTGCAGCAACATGTTTTTATAAAAAGAGGTTGTTTAATTCACTCCACATGACCAGTTGAGATCGCCACGCTACAAGCCGTTTGGCTTTTGCCTGCTCTAATTAGAAGCTTTTGTCCCACGGAGCTATAACTACCTGTGCCATTACTACATATATTTACACAAGGCTGACGATGCCAAGCAGGAAGTTGAGGCCTGGTAGACCCCGTACAGAGGATATGATGTCATGGTTTGAGCGCTGGCACAAAAACAGCATGAGTTCATGGCTGTAGTTGTCCATCAACCTCAGTATCCCAGTTGACATGAAGTGGGATGACATTTAAAAAGCACAGACAGAGTGAGCATTGTTTTAGTCATAAATACCGAACATGTTCGATTTGGAAAATATGAGCTGCTGCTGTTTCATTACTGTAGTAAATTTTTAACCACATCAAGATTTACTATGTGAATTTGGTCAGTTAAAACAGGTCTCAATGTACCAAAGAAAAAACAGCCCATGCTTGCAAGAACTGTTTTCTTTGTTTTTGTTTTTTTAAGTAAAACTATCAGCATTTAAATTCCAAGACCGCCAAACATAAATAGAGACGAGTCGAAATCGCCTAGACAAAGTTTAGCCAGTCACTTTCAAGTGTATTCAAAGTCCTGAGCAAGAAGTCAAAGTCACAAGGTGTTGCTGAGGTGTCTGCTCGGCTGTCCGCATGTGTTTGGGACTGTGCGAGACAGGCTGAAGCAGGGGCAAAAAGGTGGGACGAATGGCAGCGGTGTCACTAGGTGAATACGAGTGCGCACTCATGCATGCACGCGCCGTCTTTGTCGGCTTTTTTTCCTCCATATCGGAACATCCCAGACAGTTCAGTCAGACAGAAGAAAGCTGTGTCGAGACAATCCCTCTGCGGTAAGCCTAAATCATGGCCCAGCCCCCCCAATCTCCCAGACACACACTCTGAAAGACACACACACGCATTTAATAGCATACAGACCTGAGCAGACAGAATGATATGAATATTTGAAAAAGGACTGAGGCAACAAAAAAAGAAAAATGGTACAGGCCATGGATCTGATATCACAAATACATTGTCTGCATCAGCCATGGACCAGTGAGCTGATCCCTGTATGTGTGTATGTGTGGTTAACTCTGCTCTTTATCTGTCGCGTGCCCATCTACTGTCTATCACTTCTTTTCCCTCTCCTACCCCCCTTTTCACTTTCTGTTTCTCCCTTTCAGTCACTAATCCTGCATGTGTTGGTCTTGATAACAAACTCAGTGGTGAGGAAAAAGCTCAAGGAGATAGAGACGGTTGGTTTTTCCTGCCAAATGGCCATATAGACACAC